GAATACAGTTACTCATATTTTGTATTTTAAATACGTAACGGCGGTACATGTATTCCGTTACTCCCCAACACTGATTATTACAAGTGCAGCAGTTTCCTGCCTGTGAGGAACAGAAACAAGCATTTAATGGATGTTTGACCTTTTTTCTCATCATTTATCAGAGAAAACTTAAAAGAAATGCATTGTGGGTAAAGGCTCATATCAGTCAGTGGGAAAGGTGGGTGGTCAAAACAAGTTGGTGCATTTGAAACGTCTCCTTTATACTTATTCAAAGTTGACTGGAGTTGGTGTAAACTGAATTGAACAGCACCAGTTTATTTTTATTTATTCCATCTATTATGTAATGTGTCAAAGAGAACATGCACACTGGGTCATGCAGTTCTCAATCACACACACGAACCTCATCTCCTTTGTCAGCTCTACAGATAAACCAAGAAATGATATCAACAAGCTATCTACAAGATGCCGGGTCGTCCTCATGGTGCAGCGAAGAGACAAAACATCTGTGTAACTTTGCTAAGGCCGCTTCGTATAGTGAGATATCACCAAATACAGAGGTCAGCTGCAAAAAATAAATAAATTAAACACAGTTTCAGCGACTTTTTGTGAAAACGTTTGTTCTTTGTCAGCTAAATGCTCAGGAGGCTCAGGGTTTGCTTTCCCGTCCAAATCCACATAAACACCTCATCTATAAAACAATGGGTTTACTCGCTACTGCGTGCGCTCCTTTTCCTCAGCTTTTGCTTCCTCCTTTGTCTTTTAAGCCTGCGAGATCAAGGACTAGATAAGAGTCCACATGGGCTTTATCTTTTTATATTCAGGAATCTAGGAGAGTGAAAACAGTCGTTTCATCTCAATCTAGTTTTAACAACAGGTGGAAGACAAATTTCTGATTAATTTCACAAAGTAAAGAGCTGAAGCTTGATTTTAAAGTTTAACATCAAGTTAAAGCTGAGTTAATAACACATTTTCTCATTTTGAGAATCAGTTCATAAACAATCCTGCCTCGTGTCGTTTCAGTGTGCGAGAAGTTAAATAAAGCGCCAACATGGTCTGTCCGATTCCCACTCAGAGCCACTGTGACAAATTTCTGATAATGAAACCAACTGCACTCCCGCCGACAGATAAATCAACCTCTCTGAGCTCTAATCGTGCCACCGTGATAATAAGTGTGTCTGAGGAGCTTATGGAGCTCTGCGGCAGGGAAACACGTTCAGTGGAAGATCGATTCGCTCTGCTCGCTGACAAGCTGCTACAAACTCCACTTTTCTCATTTGAGCTCAGTCCACTTTGAGTTTTATCTGCTCTCCGACCAAAATCCAGCAGGTCAGTAAGAAT